TTTYCCACTARGCAATCTGAACARGTTCCCAWYTCKGCATTGATCAGCGGYAGTCCCTTCACCATTTCTTTGTCATGCATAGCCTTTAAACTCTTATTGTTGATGTGCCCCAACCTTTGATGYCAGAGAATGGTAGTATYATCASTTTYTGTTTTGTGACACTCTTCACTGYAGTTTGGTCTAGCTTTAACCATAAACATCCTGTTCGAACTCATTTGAATTCGTGTGATGAGACCCTTCCTCGGATGATATATGYTGCACGTTCCCTTCTTGATYAAGATYTYCACTCCTTTCYTTTKAATTTGACCAACACTAATCAGGTTGTTCATAAGGTTGGGAACGTAGCACACATCAGTTAAAATGTGAGTAAGCCCTTCAATATCGAGACGCAYATTTYCTTTTCCCATAACARCCAYASGCACATCATYACCAAGTCGTACGTTATTACGATACAAATCGTCCAAGGAACATAACCATTTCTTCTCACCCGTCATATGATTGGARCAACCCGARTCCAGAAACCAAACCCACTGTTTTAACGAGCCASCTYCATCTATTTGAGCCATCAAAACCATCTCMTCCGTGTCATCATGCTCAACATAGTTAGCGTTCTTCTCCCAATCTGGACATTCACTTTGAAAGTGTCCAAGTTTATGACACTTGAAGCATTCAATGGTGCTCTTATCAAAGAAAGATCTGCCCCGACCTCTTCCTCTCATTCCTCCTCGTCCCCTTCCCCGACCTCAAGATGGAGATCCATTCGTTATCTTTAAGACCTGCTCATCTTCTTGTTGCCCGATCATACGTTGCTCATGAACCAGAAGACTACCGTGTAACTCATCAATCGTCATGGTGTCGAGATTATTTGATTCCTCGATCGAACATACGACATAATTAAACTTCGGGCTCAAGGATCTCAGTATCTTAGCAACAACCGTACCTGAGGTCAAGGAATTGCCATTTGCCTTCATCTTGTTCACGATCGTCAAAGTTCGAGCAAGATAAGTGTCAACCTTTTCACCGTCTTTCATTGAGAGGAGTTCATACTCTCTCCTCAAAGCCTGCAGTTGAGCCCTTTTCACCTTTGTAGAGCCCTCATACTTCTGCCTCATGGAGTCCCATATCCCCTTCGAAGAACTCTTATCCAAGATAGTTTCCAAGATCTCCCTTTCAATGGCTTGGAACAAATAATTCTTCACCTTTAGGTCCTTCAGTTTGGCGTCATTGAAGGCCTTCTTCTGAGCTTCACTTGGATTAGTCACCGGTAATGCAGGAACACCATTTTCCACCAGAGTCCACATCTCCTTACTTCTTAGGAAATTCTCCATCAACAAAGACCAATGATCAAAATGACCATCGAACTTTGGGATTGCTAGCTGCACATACTTCTCAGAGTTCTCCATCTCTCTTACTCTTTCTCACCTTTTGACAGAAACGAGCTCTTGGAACCTGGCTCTGATACCAATTGTTTGGTATCACACAGTCAAACACAATGAAGAAATAGTAATACCCAAGTGTTGGTGCTGGAAAACTTCATATTATTCATCTGCTAGAATGGCTATTTAAATAGGAATACAAGGAAAACCAATTGAATAGTAGAAAGCTAACAAACTCCTATAAACTTGGAAGACTACTGGAAACATTCAAAAGAAAGCTAACTATCCTGCAAAGCAGGGGCTTATTAAAAAAAATGTGACTAAGACTGCACGTGACCACCACTCACTCCAACACTCCCTAATGCGCTTTCCCTTATTTACCCCTATACAGCAGACTACTCAAAAGTCCTATAATGCCCCTGCACATTTATTAAACTACTACGGTACTACCACTACTGACCCTTTCTCCTCCAAACATATGTACCTAATAGCAACATCCAAAGCATCCATGGTATAACACCCTCACCATGCTCTTGTTGCCCTTCGTGTATGGTGTTGTGACTAACCTACACAAACACCTTGTCCTATTCTACAAATGTTTTGATGTGTATGCCTAGAATAACCTTTTGATATGTATATCTATACTACCTTATAATACATTTAGGAAAAAACTCTTAAAAGACAAGTCATGGAGCATAAGGTACAACCATTTTATGCAACAAATTCAAAAAACTATGAATTAAATATTTTGATGCATTAGTCACAAGTTTTTAAGAATTCATTACCACCACGATAAGATGAGTGCTCAGACTTCTCGTTCTTCATACCTAATTGCTTTAGACCTAGTTTCACCATTTGACATCCAATAGATGATTCAAAATTCAAATTGTCCGCTCCCAATCTCTTTACTCTCCACACCCTCTCATCAAATCGGTATGCTTCCTCTCGATAAAATCGGTGCGTTGTGATTGATCGCCTTTCCATCTTCCATATCGTTTTAGTTTTAGGGTTTGCTCAGTGTGTGAAATTTGAATTGACCTAGAGAGTTCATCTTCATGCTCAGGGATAATAAGGTAGATGTTTTGTACTCTTTTATCAAAAATCAGTTATGTTTCAGGGTTTCTAATATATGAACAAACTATCTTCGTCAAATTTTGGCAGCTTTTGTGTTTGAGTTACATTTTTCGGCAACTTTTATGCAGATGCAAATGTTTATACGTTGGTAGAGAACAAAAGAAATCAGAGCAAGAACAAATTTTACGTCGTCAGTTTGAGGAGTGGAGGAAAAGTTAAATATCAAAATACCAGGTATGTTCTCCAATAGTTTTCTTTTGACAAAATGATCATTGGTAACTTATTCATTGAACGTTGGAACTACATCATTATTTCAGGGTTCAAATGTTTATGTTAAGAATGTCAACTGCAAGAATGCTTTAGTCAGCGTGGCACAATCATCTTTGCCAATTTGATGATTAATGACAAAGGGATGAGTAAAGGGTATGGATTTGTCTGCTTCTCTACACCAGAGGAATCAAACAACGATGTGAGCACCTTTCATGATGAGTTAGCTAGACATTAATGCTCATAATCTTCTAACCAAATAATTAATTCGTCATAATTTTGACATTTGATATGTCATTAGCAATATTATGATGGTTACCTCATCAAATGCCAAAATTGTGACATATTAATTATTGCCTAGGGAGAAAATTAGGAGCACTAATGTCTAGCTAACTCACCATGAAAGGTGCTCACAACCTTGTTTGATTCCTCTGGTGTAGAGAAGCAGACAAATCCATACCCTTTACTCATACCATTTCCTTTGTCATTAATCATCAAATTGACAAAGGTGATTGTGCCACACTGACTAAAGCATTCTTGCAGTTGATATTCTTAACATACACATTTCAATCCTAAAATAAAGATATAGTTCTGACGTTCAATGAAGGAGTTACTAATGATCACTTTGTTAAAAGAAAAGCATTGGAAAACATACCTTGTATTTTGATATTTAATCTTTCCTCCACTCCTCAAACTGACGACGTAAAATTTGTTCCCCCTTTGATTTCTTCTATGCTCTACCAATGTATAGAACCTTTGCACCTGCATAAAAGTTGCCAAAAAACGTAACTTAGACCTAGAAGTTGCCAAAATTTGATGAAGATTGTTTGTTCATATATTAAAAACCCTAAAACATATCTGATTTACGATAAAGGAGTACAAAACATCTACCTGATTATCCTTAGGCGGGATGGTAAACGCTCTAGGTCAATTCAAATTTCAAACACTAAGCAAACGTTAAAAACTAAACGACCGTGGAAAGGGGATCAATCACAACGCACTGATTTTATCAAGAGGAAGCATCTCGATTTGATGAGAGGGCGTGGAGAGTAAAGAGATTGGGAGTGAACCATTTGAATTTTGAATCATCTATTGGACATCAAATGGTGAAACTGGGTCTGAAAAAATTGGGTAGGAAGAAAGAGAAGTCTAAGCAGTAAGCACCCCTCTTTTGTGGTGGTGGCAGTGAAGCCTTAAAAACTTGTACCTAATACATCAAAATATGTAATTCACACTTTTTTGAGTTTGTTGCATAAAATGGTTCTACCTTGTGCTTTATGACTTGTCTTTAAGAGTTTTTCTTAAATGTATTATAAGATAGTATAGATATAGAGGTAGGTTCATACAAGAATGGCCAAATCACATATGGATTTTACATTAACGCCCCAAAAAAGTGCGCGGGACCCTATGGCTGCGTGGCAAGGTCGTCGTGTGGATCACATGTGATTTTGTATGTGAAGTTAGTGTAAAATCACATGTGATTCGACTATTTACTTATTTTCTTAAATAAGTACCATCCTCGTATGAACCTGACTCTCTATCTGTGTGTGTGTGTGTATATATATATATATATTAATGCATGACCCAGACATATCTTGAGGCATTATGTGCAAGGAAGAGGCTTTCTTAAATCTGTAAGAAAATCATGCATATAAAAATATATATGTCAGAAGATTGTTCTTTTAAATAATCCTGGCTCTCTCCCTCATGTCACGGTTCGCCGGAACACACTAGATTATTTATGTTTCGACTTGCTATCCCCATTTTTGTTGCTGATGCATACTGTTATTTGGCTCTAGTAATGGTCCTGAACTTAAAACCAAACCAAGCAAATCCAATTTATTTCACTTGAAGGTAAAGTCTGGAAAGGTAAAATGGCTGTCTTCGTGAAGACGATACTGGTCCTGAATCTCTAGTTGCATAAAGGTAGAAGTGGGAAGTACATTTCCATTGAAGATCCTCATGATTTGTCAACTTGTTACCTGCAGTTTGATCCAAATGGAAGACAATGTTTGACAATGGAGGGTTATAGAGACATTGGGCAGATAGTTCGCAATCTAGTGGATGATCACTGCAATGGACGCATCTTAATCGTGCAGGAAGGCGGATATCATATCACATACTCGGCTTATTGTCTTCATGCAACTCTCGAAGGTGTGCTCAATCTTCCATGTCCTCTTTTATCTGATCCCCTTGCTTATTATCCTGAAGATGATGCAATCGCTGTTAAAGCTATTGAATCAATGAAACACTACCAAACACAGGCTGTATCGTTCCTAAGAGAAACCTAACCATGAGCTTTTTCTCTACACATGAAATGGATAGCAGGTATTCTTGTCATACTTGTAGTTATAGATGGCAAAATGGTAAACCTGCTGCGCCCTTAACCCATCCCAGTTCTGGTCCCTGCAACCTTTAAGTTGTAACCGGTCCTAGTGGTGGTTCAGTTGCTTTTCCATTCAGCCATAGGGACTTAGCAGTCTGAATGGATTAGGCCAAATTGTTGTTCGATGGTTGTACTAAATAAATGATTTGAATAACATAAATGACTATTTTATCTTTCTGTTACCGGTTAAATATAAATATTGGGGCCGTTTACTAAATGCTTACCCGAGTAAGCGCTTACCAAATCACATTACATTATCGGATGAATATGGTAAGGACCAAGAAGTTTACCCGGTAAGAGCAATACAAGGACCAAGAGTCTTACCCAGTAAGTGAGGGCAACGACTCTTACCACGGTAAGTGCTTACCGGGTAAATTGTTGCATACGATGCCGTTTTAATGGACTAAAATCTTACCCGATAAGTAAATGATAGTGTTAATTTTTACCGGTAAGCACTTACCGAATAAGTGTTTGGTATACAGCCCCTAAAGAGGATAATATGCATCTGATGGATATTTTGTCAAATACTTCCAACATTTTGGTTAAAAATTTCGGGCAACTACTATGATTGGTAATACCTTTATCTTCATGTTTTTAACATATAATATTCATTCAACTATTAAGGGACTGTTTATCTAAATGTTTACCCGGTATGCGCTTACCGTTAGGAGTCAACACTATGATTTATTTTCTAGGTAAGATTGTTGCATATCAAAATGGTATGTGTGCAACAATATATATGGTAAGCTCTTACCCGGGTAAGAGTCGTCACCCTCACTTACCGGGTAAGATTCTCTATCCTTATCATCGTTCTTACCACGTAAGATTCTCGGGTCTTTCCATGTTCGTCCAGTGAGGAAAATTCCCCGGTAAGCACCTACCAGGTAAGCGTTTAGTAAACGGCCCCTAAATAAGTTAAATGTTGGTTTGTAAGTCTTAACACCTACGTTATCACAAACACGTCTATATACTTGACTGACTATTATTTGTCCCTATAAAGAATCAATCTTAACATAAATCTAAATATTTGTAGGGCTTGGTTGACTAGTTTCATCTTGAATTATACAGTTAAAAATTTATGAATGAGCATCATTAGTATGAGAAAAGAAAACATCACGACATTATATGATCCAAAACCCGATCTTAATTTTTCTATACTTTTTGTATTATTACTTGTGTCCAGTCCACGGATTTTAACGTTATGTAAGATTTTTCACGTGACATTTTAACACGGAATTTTCTTCACCTTTTTTACATCGTGTTTTTCTTTTTCAACTAAAAATAATAGCCAAATCGTATGTATAGCTTGCAAATCAGGATTTGGGTTATGATCCGTACTTTGGTAACATAATGGAGGATTGAAGACCAGGAAAATTGTGAGATGACATTTTTCAATTCAAAGTTATCTTGGAAAGAAAGGAGCATCATTGCCAATTTGCCATTAAACATGGTAAATTGGGCCTGTAACCAATTAAGGCATGTCCAGTTAAAGTCAGCAATTAGGGATGGTTACGGGTTAAGTTGGGTTGGATTCGGGTTCAACCTATTTATTAAACAGATTAAAAATCTTAACCTAACCTAACCCGTTTAAATAAATGGGTTCAACCCAACATGTTATCTAAATGGAATGAGAGCAGGTTAACATGTTTATGATTTTCTCAATTCAACTTGTTAAATAAATAGATTGAACCTGGGTTGACTCATTTAATTTTAAAATTTTAAATAAAATAAAAAGAATTAGACCATTTAAATTTATGAAGAAAACACAACCATAAATACAAATAAATTGTTAAAATTTTGAATAAACCACAACCACAACAAATGCATTGTTTAAAATAAATTGGAAACCTTTAATTTCTAAGTAACTCGATTTCCATTTTCACCGATTCCAATTTCACTCTCGGTATTACTTTCCTCTTGATGTAAATTTTCTTTGGCGTTTGAAATCCACATCAGATTTGTTTGGCTTTAATTGGTTAATCATTTTGTTCTCATTGTTCTATGATGGAGTGGAGGAGACTCCAATCATCTTCTTCCGAAATTTCAACTCTATTACTATTAATCACTGAAATAGAACACAAAAATTATAAGCAGTTTCAGATTTGTTTTCCAAAACAAAATAGTTGCTACTAAACATAATTACTAAAATAGAACACAATATAATAACAGAGGTGGAAACAAAATAAAAGAGGTGGTTACATATCAAAAAAGAAACATTATAATAATTTTTTTTTTTTTTTTGTAAGGGTGTCCGGGCCAAAGCCCGACTAATCCCCGGCAAATTTGGAGGCTAAACATGGCCTCACTTAAATGTCGCCAACACTCCCCTCCCAGGGCTCGAACTCGGGTTCATGACTATGTCATGCCCAAGCCTTTACTACTAGGCTGGAAGGTCTTTGACAACATTATATTATAATAAACTTACCGGTTACTATCATAAAAGAAACATTATAAAATAAAAGAGGTGGAAACGAATGAATGAATTACATTATAAAAGGGAATAAATAAAAAACTAGTTACTATTTGCGATTGAGACTGGAACAAAGAGAAGAAATCTGCGAGTTCCACCGGTTTCATACAACCACACTGACCGAAATCTGTATGTTCGACGAGAGAGAGAGAGAGAGAGAAGAGGCGGAGATCGGAGAGGGAAACCGTTGACTATAGTGTTGGTCTGATGGAGACTTGGAGGCGGACGAGAGAGAGCCGAGAGGGAGACTTGGAAGCGGACGAGAGAGATTATTACTTTATTAGGGTTTCAATGTTTCATAGATAATATTAGATATTATAATTAAAAATAAAATAAAATTATATAATACCTTAAACGGGTTGAAAACAAGTTGAAAATTTCAATCCGACCCAGTATTTAAATAGGTTAGACGGGTTGATTCGTTTATTTTGGTTTGAAAATCTCAACCTAACCTGTTAATTTCGGATTGGGTTGGCAGGACACTTTGTGCCACCCCTATCACCAATGCCAGTAACCGGTTAAATTGGTCCAGCATGTCCGGTTAAGGTCACCAATGCCAATAACTGGTTAAGTCGGTCCGCAGTCCTCGTTATAAAATGGCTGCGAAACAGAAGGACCGATTCTACGCCAATTCTTATTCATTTATTATATACAAATAATAATAAGTACGTTGTAATTGATAAATTAAACAAAACATCCACTCCGTTCAAATAAATTTTTATATATTTTGAATTATTAATCCAGATAAAAAAAAAAACGTAAACTTTGAAAACTTACAAAAAAAGTTTGATATTGCATGAAACTTGGAGTTATGTAGGCCCGGTTTGAGGGGTAAAAATGGTATTTCCCCTTTTCCATTCCCTTCAAACGCCCTCTTGTAACAAAACCAGAGTAGAAAAGAAAAAGACCAAATACACCAACAACATTCATCAACTACACAAATTCCGGGTCATAATACGATACTACATCAAGAAGATCCGGGTGGCTGGGATCGATGTCGGTCATGGCACACCTGCTCTCAACATTTCTAACCCACATGCCACCATCACTACTCTATACTACGCACTTCCCGTCGGGCCGGTGGCCGCTTGCTCATGGACCGAAACATTCGCATTGCCGCCGCAATCCAAGAGGCTAACAAGCGAGATAAAGATTTCCATTCTTGTCACGTCCCGGTTAGCCTGTTTACATAATATAATTCAAACTGCAGGAAAATTCATAATCTAACTACGACTTAGGGGCTGTTTGGCAATTGCTGAATGATTTAGTGCAAAATAGTTAAGAGGTCAGAATGGTTGAGAGGGTCAGAATGGTTAAGTGCTGAATGAAATAATGTTGTTTGGTAACTGTTCTCTGAATGATAATAAATTACCATTTTAACCCTCTCTAACAAAAACCCATTATTCCATTTTAACCGTTAGGGCTCCCTCAAAGTTCCCTCTGTGAAGAATCGATCCCTCAATCATTGCCTCTCAATCGATCCCTCCATCGTTGCCTCTCAATCGATCCTCTCAATCGTTGCCCCTCAATCGATCCCTCCATCATTCCCTCTGTGAAGAATCGATCCCTCCATCGTTCCCTCTGTGAAGACCGGCGACTTAAACCGACGAGGCGACGACTTGGGGAGATGAAGGGGCTGTGGAAAGGGCGACCGACGACACCGGCGCCGGAGAAGATGGGGGAGGCGATAACTTGGGGAGACGATGGGAAGGGTATTCATGGAAGAAATGGTACTCTGAATGGTTGAGTAGCCCCCCACCCTCAAAATGGTTAAGAGGTCTGTGTAACGATTAAGAGGTCTGTTTTTTTTTGCCAAACACATTTCACCTCTGACTGATTCAGAGGTTGGCTCTTAATTAAGAGCCAAACAAACAGCCCCTTACTTATACAAGTGGTGTATAGGAAACGTCTGTGTGGGATTTACTAGGTTTGTTTACTCTTACTAGGTACGAGGTGAGGTTATGACCGACAAATGATGCTGCTGAATCGGTTAGTACTGTGTTGTTAATCGGCCCCTAATACCCTAAGCATGATTAATTGCTAGTTTGTTTTGGTAAACATCCCCTTCCTCAGTCAAGATGTTTCGAATTTACAATAAAGTTGTTACCTCTACGGTAAAGTGGGCCCATATCTTGTCGTTACGAGATTCCATCACCCCCTTCAAGATTGTCAATCCCAATCCTTTAATAACATCGGCTATCTCCAAGAACGAACCTCTTTCTTCACAAAGCATCTGCCACCCCACAACACAGACACATAAGCAACATATATGAAAATGTTCAAATACAATGAAAAAGTCCCCCAGCGGTCATACCTCCACTAGCATTTGCCGAGGTGAATTCAGATCCTCGACTATAATCGGGCAGACCATCGATTGAGAATCAACCTCGTATGCCCAGGTTGCTCCTCCTTCAAAGTTGTCCCTCAACAATAGCCCGCCGTCCTTGCTCACAATCTATAGTTAAATCAAACAATAAACGTTTTTACCTCCTCGAAACGGCAGCTCTATTGCTTGGGGTTAAAGGCTAGGTCTACGTGCATCACACCACCCCAAACCCCACCCGATTGAGATATACTAGGTCAGTTCTGTTTGGTTTAGTTTTTACCAACCTTAATAGACTTTTGGTCCTCCGAAATGCAAGGTACAGTTTATCTCACCAAACCAAACGAACACAGTACATCCCACTTGAATGCAGGGTCTAGGAGAGCTACAGTTTATCTAAAAGACAGAAATCATACCTTCGATTCCCCAGTTTGTTTTAGCTTATCTGCGTGCTTTGTAACACTTTGCAAAAAAAGCATATGCTTGATGGTGCGTTCTAGCAAGGCATCGATGCTACACTGTTTTCGACGACAACAGAAACAGGAAAAACATCAAAGTTTGATTTCGGGAAACTCTGGATTACAAGAAAATGAGGTATTGACAGATAGGTGTTTTACCTTGGCACCGTTTGGGATGATTTCTCTCAATTCTTTTACACGATCTTGGATCATCTGGCGATCTTTTGGTCGGGGTCTAGGATTTTCTCCAGGTTTAAGCCTCTTACGATTCGATTTGCTGATTTCATCAGCCCTTTTTGCATACTCAGATGCAACACCACTGCTATTCTTTCTCACATTGTGTCTTTGCTCCTTCCAAGAACTGATTTGTGATGAAATGATAGAGCTACTATCAGAAAAATTTCCCACATCTTCCTTGGAGATCCCAGATTTGTATGAATAAGAACTCGTTACCCCTGTTTTTTTCAAAGATTTGGGGACACCAACCAACTCTCCTTGCATCAAATGAACACCCTGATTAGCCCAAATGGGTGATGAATAAGCAACAGGAACAGAGGAGCCATTGTTTTTTGCCAACGACGTGTGAACCTTGGAGACGACTGCATCTAAAAGATGGTCACTGGCTGTTGATGAATAAATACCGCTATCAGATTCTCCTTCATAAACCGAAAAGAGATCAGAACCTGCTGCACTCTGAAGCTCTAAAACCGAACTATCATTCCTAGTTAGATTTTGCGGGTTTGGTTCGACCCCATTGTTAACAAAGTTATTGTGATTTCCACCAAATAATTTGTTTCTGAAATCCATGCCCACAATATCAAACAAGTCATCCCTTGATGGAGCTTTTGGACATGCTTCTTCTGAGGACATAGTAAGAGCTTGAAATAACTCATGTTCTAGCTTTTCTTTATCGAAAGTTGGCTTCGGCTCGTCTACAAGATGAACCACATGGTTAGAGCCACCACAAATCAAAAAAGTAGAAACATGATGGCTAAAATATGTTTGTTTTTTGGTAATTGTGAGTGCTCAGACCAGCTTAGGCCATGAAGTTAACCTTCCAGTGGCCCCAAGGAGACTTCAACTCGTGAACTCGAGGTTTTATTTTTTATTTTTCTTGGCAAGGTCTATGTAAAATGACCCCTCAGCACAGACTGGGAAAAACACCAGGTATGACCCTAACACTACAAAAATGGTCTTCTAGGACACCAAACCGTCATCAGGCATCCCGCGTCCTAATATAGTACTATGTAGTGGGACTTTAAGTTTATAGAACCAAAAATCGGGTACAATCTAGAGGCATTACAAGAAGTTGTTAGGACGAAATTAGACTATCTAACAAGTTCTATTGACGATGTTGGACAACTTAACAAGACACAAAATGCAAATGTTCTATTAACCTTCATATATAGGGACACTTTTCAAAAGTGTCATATGAAAAGGCTAATGGTATGAGTTACTTTTTATGTCCTATCATGTTGCCCAACTTCATCCTAACATCTTATTGTATGCCTTTACATAGGACAACATTTTCTTGTCCTATAAACTTAAAGAGTCCACGCATGAGCGTCCTAAAAGACCTATTTTATGTAACGAAAGAAGTTAATAGCATGTAGCAGGAATCCAAACTAAAACCTAATGTTTCAACAGGCACCAAGCTCCCATGATCGACTGGTTGGCCAATCTCTTAAGGTTGCTTTCAATTTTAGCTGAATTTGAAATTTGGACAGTCTTACCAACGTGGGTGCAAGTGAAGTGAGCATCCGAAAGAGGCGGTGGATTTGAACTTGCAGCCAGTCCACGAACGTCGTTTGACTTTCTTGCAATCTGAGACATCATAGTGTCATTTTCAAGATCTCCCAAAAATGCATCCGATAGTATATGTTGTTCCATTGATCTTAAGGTATCACAGTTTGCTAAGAACGAGCCAAAAGAAGTTTGCTGATCATTCTTTGGGTACAAATTAGCCTGAGGCACCACTTCCCCAGAGGCTCCAATTTCTTGAACTTCACAGGATTTTGTAGAACTTTGAAAAATTATAGGCGGACTTGCAAGCATCGAACCGCTAGCCACTTGGCTATGTCCGATATGTCTACTAAGAGAGAAAGAAGTATGACCACTGGTTCCTGAAGCCTGAGGTGAGTGGCCCTGTTGGTTGCAGCCATCTGAAGTAAAGAGGGTGCAGTAAGTCAATTTAGATTTTCCAGATGAATGAGTAGAAACAGAATCCCGAAGGCAGATGGGTTCCCGATGATTTGGACTAGGGTCCAAGGAACCTTCGTTTTGCATGTAGTTTTCGGATAATAATGCACCAGGAACACATCCAAGTTGAGAAATTAAACTCTTCACGTCATTCACAAATCCCATATTCTCCATGATCTGCAGATTGAAATATGATTTGCATCAGCATTATGTTCCGAAATCACAGCCATCTATACAGATAATTTGTTATACTTGTGGTACATGTTTTACTGTTCTCTAGAATTGGTTCTGCTTTTCACTTTCTCCATCATGATCCTTTGAACCAACCCTCTGTTCCTTTTCTCGACTGATGTTGTACCGGATGAACTTAGATATGACCTAAGTTGTATTCTGGTACGAACTAGAATATGACCTAAAGCAGTCTCCATGGATAAGAAGTATAGCTCTTCATGAATGGAGAAAGCATTTGAATTGAACACATCTAGGCCCAAATCATAATATGTCTTCAATGACCAACACTTACATGATGATATTGATGTATTAGTGACCTTGGGAAAGCATAAATTCTTGCAACGTTTTCTCTATGATGATATAAATTAGAAAATGGAAGATAAGATTAACTTACGGTTGAGGATGAGCCAAGTTGAACAACACCATGAGGATGAACTGGAATAACTGCTATTGTCTGCTACCGAAAATAGAGAACCATTATGTTATTACAGGCAACAAATCAAAACGATACTTGAACTCGAAAGGCTAAAAGTTACTTAACATGAATGTCGGCTGAGAATTGTGTATACACCTCATTCGATACCTGGCAGCACAAGATACAAATAGAATCAGACATTCATTTGACCACACGAAATTTCTCAATCTTTTTTTTTTTCTATTAAGAAATTCTGAACTCGCTATTCAGGAAGTTACACTACGTGTGGCAAATTAACCGATAAGCTAGTCAAGTTGGTAAAAGAGAACTGATTGATAAGCTAGATGACAATGTAAATGACCTAAAAGGACATGTTGAAAATTATTCAACTCTAGCATAAGGGGGGCATAATTTTATAAAAAAGGTAGAAAAAAACCCTTGAGCTTATTGAAAAGCTATCTGAATTATCTTTTCAAAAGATAGCTTATGGCTTACCAGCTGGAGCTTTTTCAATAAGCTCAACAAAATAAGCTAGCTTATGGTGGCCAAACATAGCCTTAATAATATATACCTCGGGTGGATGGACACCTAGCATTTTGTTATCCGAGATAATCCATTGATGATTTCTAGTGAATGCAACCCTCCCAACTAATCTGAAAAGATGTTATAAAGATGAGTTAACAAACAAACATGACCCTTTGGTCAACAAGAAGTAACATTAGCGGTGGTTCAAAGGCTCAACCATTGCAAATAAAAAAAAAAAAAAAACTTTGGAGACACACCCTTCTCCTAAAAGATTGATGTAGCTGTCCTTCATCATTTTGGTTACAAGTGTGTGGACTTTGTTCCTGGCTTGAACTCCATTCCCAGCATTAGCATAAATAACAGGTTCGTAATAACATTCTTCCCATATTAGAAGCCTACAATTTGGAAGGAGAACTGACTAGTGAGCAAGTAATCTACTATCAGTATTCAATATCACAATTCACAACTAACAGATCCAAATAATTACAAAAAATTGCAGCACATTTATAGTCAAAACCATATATATGTATATATAGAGAGAGTGAGGTTCAGAAGAGAACCCCCAAAAAATAAAAAAACCGAGAAACATCCTAATAACCATTCACCCGAATGTTATAGACATGTTATGCACATGTGCATATCGGACAAATTACTTGTATTCAACTGTGCAAACCATACTGATATCATTTATTAGTGTGTTCCTCGGTTTTTCATTGTTTTGCAGTATTTCCCTGGACCTGGACCCATATATACATATACACAAGTATATATAGAGAGAGAACAAAAAACTTCATCTGAGAACTATGAGAACCAATGAATATTGGAAATATTCATGTAATTAATTCATTATAAATATTCATGATATTCAGAACGAATATCACATGGACTCGGGAGAAAGAATACAAACAAGAACAGACACTATATATACCACAAGAAACCTGATTTGTTTCCTCACTAAAATGCACCAAGACAAAAAAAAGCAAATCCAAACATATGAATCCAAGAACAGATTCAAAAAAGTTAAAAGACAAAAAGCTAAAATAAGAGAAGCAGGCTCTACCCATAAAGAATCAATGGCATGTCAGATCTTATACACACAATTATTACCAAAACCCCCCCAAATTTCCACTAATTAAAACTATAACATGAAGTGTGTCTTATTCATTCTCAATGAAATGTTCACAGCCGGAATAATTGTGGGAGGTCTTTGAATCAATTTTCATACCCTAAAGCCAACTAAACATTGATCGATTAAAAAAAAACACTAAGATAAGATTAGCGTAAAAGATAACATAAGACAGTAAAACGAAAGAGAAGCAAACTTTCCCAGATTCAACCAAATAAGAGATGAACTTACTTAGGGTTTTGGCAGCCGATCTTCCAGAAAATAGCATAAGACCATTGATTGACACCACATAGGGTTTTCAGAGCTTCTTTTAGTAGATAACCCATATCGAAAAAACCAGTGAGATTAAGAAGGTGGATCAATTAAGAGAAAAAAGAAGCAGTCGATTGGGGAAAAGGGGAAATAATGAGCCTAACTACCCCGGCAAGAACCTCTTCCGGCCTGTTTAGTTCTCAACCCACCACTCCTTTTTCTCTCTGGATCCAAATTTCCCCCCAAAATCAATACCCATGTCATTCTAGACATGTAGACAGATACAACTGAAATGGGTTGTTGTTTGAAAGAAGAAGAACAAGTGGTGGTGAGAAAAAGGTTGTTGTTACTCTATTCCAGAAGCTTTGAGGTCAGAGTTTTTGGCAAGTCTCTTCTCCATCATGTTTAGAACGCAGAAAAACATAAAATGTCAATTCTGTTTACAGCTTTTGGGATTTCCGATTCCAATGAGTGTTGACTGTCGATGAAGAGAGGATGAATGGGTTGGTGAGATGGTTTTCAACTGGGTCTGTTGTGGTGTTTTCTTTCTCATGAGATTCTTTCTTTGATGCCCACAAGATGAGGGAGAGAGAGGGAGAAGAGAGAGAAGGGTTTGGTAAAGTGGCTCCTCACTTGTTAAATCATAAAGCCTTTTTTTCTTCTGCCACCTTAGATTTTGGAGCAAAGTGATATCAAACATTTCTGTTTTTTAGATAACTTCAAAAAATTTGTGAACAAAACAAAATGCAACTTCAAACCCATCAAATATCATAGTATTAAGTATCTACATGCATGTTCCTCTAAATGAACCTAATTCAACCCCTAACACATTTATTTTCTTTCTTTTTTCTACATATTTAATACTGATTTCACACCTAAAAGGTTCAAATATCAAGATCGTTAAAAGCATCCACGACAATTGCCTTTTTGGTTCTTGGTGAGTTAAATCTTGTGATAAAACGATCAACACCAATAAATCATTCAAATGTCGTCATTATTGCCACATCAATAACTAATTTATAATTTAGACTAAGTTACACTTTCGATTCATGTGGTTGTTACTCATTGTCAAGTGTAGTTCATATTTTAAACTAAACTAGTGTTGTTCAAAGAGTGTTGTGTGTTATCGCTTATTTTTTGGAATATTAGATTAAAAGTTAAATGAATCGACCTCCTACATCTCAATATTAAACTAAGGGGTTGTTTACTTGCGACGTTATTAGGCTTATTAGTCTATCTGGCTTATTCGCACAACTCATTTGGATTGTTTACTTATGACTTATTCACACAGAACATGGCTTAATCGAACAGATAGAAATGATGTGTTGTGTAATATTCGGGTTTCAAGTTTTGATTTAAGATTTTCTTTAACATATATATATATATATATAT